AAAAAGACATTAGCGAAAACACATTTATAAACTAGATGTTTTTTTTAAAAATCTTTTTCCAACAACCTAGGCTTGTTTTGGTCAGATTAGGTTTCAAACTCTCTTTAAAGCTTTAATATCAATCCTCAAGTAGTAGAGAACTAGGCGATAATATAATCTAGTAGCAGAGATCTAGGCGATAATATAATGGTAAGATAATCTAGTTTCTTATATGTTTGGATTTTGGTTGGATGGGAGATCCGCAACTTGATCATTGATCATGGGCATCTATGATTACTCGAATTATTTTCCCTAGTTTCTTGTTTCTTAAATATAGACTATTTAAGTTCCTGTTTCTTCCCGTTTTATAATTAGTACTTGGTTTTATGCCTGGTGAGCTTACAAAACAAATTAGATAATCTGCAGAAGATGTTTGAAATGGGTGCACCATGTGTCTGATGTAAGCCTTTTCTTGATACATATTATACCTTCTAGGCCCTCGTAAAGAAGGATCCCATGAGACGCCAAGTATTGCGAGTTAAAGGTTGCTTTGCTGGATCTAAAGCTGAAAATTTATTGGAACAAGGCGATATGGTCTTAGCAATTAATAAAGAGCCAGTTACATGCTTTCGTGACATCGAACATGCATGCCAATCATTAGACAGGTCTAATGATAGCGATGGAAGACTTAACTTGACAATCTTTCGTCAGGTGAGCTGCTGAGGCAAATCGCGTTTACATTTTCTTCCCCATTTTCCTCATATATGACCAAAAGAACTTTACTACTGTCATATGTCCTGCTTAAGTTAGTTCTTCATTCTCTTAAATTCTTCCAAGTTATTTGATGAATTCTCAGGGCCAGGAAATTGAACTGCTTGTGGGAACAGATGTGAGGGATGGAAATGGAACAAGTCGTGCAATAAGTTGGTGTGGTTGTATCGTCCAAGATCCTCATCCAGCAGTACGTGCACTTGGATTTCTTCCTGATGAAGGCCATGGAGTATATGTAGCAAGGTGAGTAATTGCTAGACTGTGGAAAGCTTTTTTTAGAAGTCAAGAAAGTTGGCAGCATGTTTCTTGAGAAAATTGCAGCAAAATAAAGGAAAAAGGAAAAGAAGTTTCCTGTATGCATTTGTTGTAAAAGGAAGAATCAAATCCAAATTAAGACACATTTTTTCTTTACTGCTCCTTTTCAAGACTTAATTTAAAAGGAATATTATGGTGGGAATCGTTTACTGGATTCGTCATAATTTATTAACTTCAAGAAAAAGAGTTTGCTGTAATTGTTCCTGGGTTATCACTGATCAGCAGGCATTGAGGGGACTCTTTGTTCTGATGAAGGGCTGATTGAGTCTTTCTAATTTTCATTATGTATTTGTAATGCATCTCATGTAAAAGAAAGAGAGGGCAGTTGAGTATCTTTTGTTGAGTTGGCTATTAGCTATATGCCACTATTATTAACGCCTAAAGTAACTCTCAGGTGGTGTCATGGAAGTCCAGTACATCGGTATGGTCTTTATGCTCTTCAATGGATAGTTGAAGTCAATGGAAAACCAACTCCCTCTTTGGATGCTTTTGTTGACGTCACGAAGGTATGACTTGTTATTTTGAGATGCTTTGTATACATTATGTGTATGGAAAGAGCTATGAATATCAGCCTGTTTGGCCAAGTTTCTCCAAGCCCAAAATGTTTTTTTCAAAAGTAAAGGTCTTTGGCCAAGCTATAGGAGAAAAAAAAGTGTTTTTAAGTAGAAGCAGAAACTGTTTTTTTTTTTTTTTTTCAAAAGTGAGAAGCAGAAACTATTTTTTGAGATGCTTAAAAGTAACTTCTGTCCGTAAGTACTACTTCTGAAAGCACTTTTGAGAAAATACTTTTTGGAGCACTTTTTAAAGGCTTGGTCAAACACTAATTGCTGCTCAAAAGTGTTTGATTAGCCAAACACAAACTGCTTCTCACTTTTTAAAATAAGCTGATTTTAGAAATTTGACCAAACAGACTATAAGATCCTTATTGATCATCTCCAAATGGTATACCATTCCTGCTTCCATATTTCGAGCATTTGGAAAGATAGGAACTAGAATTTTAAGAGAAAAATGATAATGTACTTAATCTTGAACACAATCTTATATTCTTGCTTAGTTCTTGGTGCAATATGGTTACTACAAATATTCTAGTCTTTTTGTTTACATCTGAGATAACTCATACGGTTTGTTGTTTGGTTATATGATTCTTTAATTGAAGCCACTTGATGATTAATACAATGATTAGTTACCAAAAAATATAAAGAAACATTCTCGAGCCTGAATCTAGGGGTGTCAAATATGGCCCAGAAGTTGATGGCCTATCCAAAATGTTATGAGTTAGCGATAAGATAATTTTGTATTGATTTGATTTTCAACTCCCCCAACACAATCCTTTTTCAAGGGGATCTCCTTTTTATGCCAATACTAGCCCAATTCAAACTCATTTTTAAGATTTACCTTAATCGGAGCGTGAGATTTACTTTGATTTTTTCTATGTTTTCACTTTTCTTGTACCATGATCTTCGTATGTGGATATTGAATTTGTGGGTTCAACCTATAAAGTTTGTAGTATTTAATTAATTGCATTAATAAAATTATGGGTTCAGACTTGCTATTTGTGGCAATTTTAACAATTTTTTATGGATAAATTTATGCTCTACAATGGAAATACTGGATTTAGATGATCCCGGTATCTCTATTTTGCATTCACCACTGTGTATTTTATAAGTTTGATGTTGTACAATTTTCACTGCATTAGGGCATCACATTTGTCATGTAGTGCAAACAATAATCATAAGTTAATCACACAATAAGTTTCAATATTTCCAAAAGCTTTAAAAATACATCTTGAATGAAATATAACATAGTATAATTTTAAAACAAAAAAAATACATGGTTAAATCTAGATCTCGTTCTGAAATATTTTTATTTGTGAAATTCGTTGTATTACCATTTTGACCAAGCTAATAAGCTTCCTATTTCATGATGAAGCTTTTCCAGAATTAAGGACTTGTATGAGATGATATGCTAATAGCCGGAATATTAGTGACCCGAAAATGTAAAAGTGGTGTGTTTTAAATTTGTTTCCAATAGAAACATGTAAATTTGGATATTTTCTTGTATAAAAGTATTCATATTTGTCCTCCTTAATAACAGAAGTTATATTGGTTTATTCAAAATGATATTGGACAAAATTGAGATAATTACTTAAAAAAGGCTTAAACCCTAAAAAAAAAATTGGGTAAAGTTGGTTGGGTTATGCACCCCCCCTCTCCCAATCCAGCTCAACATGGCCATTTATCACCCCTACCTGAAAACCATGCTCGATTTTCTCCTTTCATTACACTCCCTGTAATGCTCTCATACAATTTAGATGAACTCTTTCATGAGCTTTTTGGCTGGCACATATCAATACTATTACCTTACAAAAATGATTGTTACTGATCTTGAAGTTTCTGACTTGATATCTTGTTACTGTCCTGTTCTTATGCCTAATTAACTTTTCACAGACAATAGAGCATGGAGAGTTTGTCCGGGTACGGACAGTCCACCTGAATGGGAAGCCTCGAGTACTTACATTGAAGCAGGATTTACACTACTGGCCATCATGGGAGTTGAGGTTTGATCTGGAAACTGCTATGTGGCGACGCAAAACAATCAAAGCTTTGGACTCTGGTGTTTTGTGAATTGATTCGGCTGATTAAGATTTACCGTGGAAGTGCATAATTGGAGAGCATGTTGAAAGTTCACCGGGTTTGTTGGTTAACATCAATATATGCAAAATCATCTCTGGCTTCATTGCCTATTTGTTGTAAATTACTATTTATCTGATGAAATAATTAGGAGTATTTTAGACATAGTTATAGGTTCTAGAGCTATACATGATTGTATATCTGAAGATGTAAACGATGAATTAGGGGTTACTTTTAGCCACCAGAGCTATAGGATTAAAGCACTTTTCTTCTGAATTTATTATGTCAATTTAGCTGACCGTGTTAGATCCTATTTATGCCAGTGCATGATATTTTAGAGTTGTATTGTTTCTTTCTGACATCTCCAGAATTTTGGTCAGTTGTGGGCGGATTGATATTTGAATCGCCATCGATATATATATATATATCAGAGAATATTTTATCCATTTTTCTTTGGAATATTTGTGGTGCATTTTTTAGCCCAAAATGCATGACTAACCACTCATAATGTCCATTAGGAGTGCTGAATGCAGTTAACTGTACCGAGTCTTCTGCTAGCTTTATTTGCCAAAATCCACTTTTACAGTCAAATTTTGAAAAATATGTTTTTCCTTTCGCAAGGTTTATCAAATTATTTTTATTTGGGATAAAATATCCATCAAATAAGCAATTTTTATTTAGCTCTTTATAGTTTATTACCATTCGAGCTTTTCCTCTTTTTATTTCAGCATGGTTTCTTACCATAAATGCTGGGCTGCTATGAGGGCCTTTACTCATTCTAATTAATTTTAAATTGAGTAATTTCTTAATTTGGATTCTAAATTCAATATATATATGTTTATTGCTTGTTTATACTTACATGCTTAACTTATACGCATTTATAGATATAGCAGCCAGTGCATTCATGAAATACTTAAAATATAAGGCAAAAAGGAAAAGGAGGGAGGGAGGGAGGCTGGGTTTGGCAAAAAACAGCCAATACTTGACAAAATCTTCTCTACAGAACCATTTGTTGGTTTTTGATAAGTAGGAACAATTTTTTAGGGGAAGAACTCAGTTAGAAAAAAAGGAGATGTTTTTTCTTTCAACTTTCTCCTTCCAAAAATAGTTAAAAGAGAAGACAGTAATTGAGAATCAGAGTACTTGCCACTTTACTGTTGCTCTCAGAGAAGTAACCTTGGTAAAAGAAGATTACCCAGAAAGAGTTGGTGTATTTGTACTATTACTTGATAGCGCTAGCTGCACATGAACTTCCTTGGTCCCAAGTACTAAAAAATATTGAATATGCCACCTTTGTTTGGTGCATTACTGTGACCAGATAAGGAGTAATGTAAATAGTAGCAATAACTTGCTTGTCAAATTATGATCACTTGCAGCTGAAGAGTAATCAGATGGTGGATTCTTGTAGTAAAATGGGAGGTAAGGTAAAATTGGATTAGGAGGTGGAGGACCATACACGTACATCGGTGGAGGTAAAAAGTCTCCACCTGGTGGCAAATAATACCCCATTGGCGGAGGGTAGTTGACTTGCCCTGAAGGTGGTAGCTGTGGTGAAGATGGAGGCGGTGGGCAGTCGGTAGGGGTAGGTGGAGGAAGGCAAGAATAGGGACATCCATTTGGTGGTGGTGGAGAAGCATAGAGAACACCTTGATTAGAAGTTGTTACTTCAGACACTTGAGCATTTCCAGAAGAACTGAAAGTTAATATTGTTAGGATGATTAAAGGTGGAAAAATGCAGAATTTTGTGGCCATTGTGTTATCAGAAATGGAGAACACTCTGGTAGATATAAAGACCATGCAAGTTGATGGTGGCCTCTCTAATGGAATATTAAGATGGTACCCTTTTGTTGTTTTAGAATTATTGTTGTTAACTTTGAATAATCCATTAGTTTTGAAGCATATTAACTTAAGTTACTCTTGACTTGTAGGCTATATACCCATTGACCGCAAATTTTATTTTATTTTTAATCTATCAGGTTAATTATTTATATCGTATTAACAGTTATAAGTTTTACTTACAATGTAACAACATAACGTTGAGACCCCATAGTATAATTCATTATATTGATCCAAAAGGAAACATTTTTTCTTTTACACTTTAGAATCTATTCTATTCCGAAGTCTAAAAAATGGTTGTTATTTTTTTTTGGTCATATAAATAATATATTGAACCATGTAAAATAATATGTAGCGCTATATTTGAAATCTTCTTAATACCGTGATATATAAATAACCTATACATTTATATTCATAACTTTATATTAAAAAAAACGAAGGAATAACATATAAAGTTATCATGAGCATCAATGTAGCTTGGGTGCATGTGGCTGAAAAGTGTTTGTGTTGCATCAGTCTCTATTTGGAATCCAAGGCTACAATGATTGTATGGTTTATGAGTTTATTTTGAGAAATGACATTCTTAAGATGTTAATAGGTATTTATTCCATGCAAATTAGTGTTGATTAATCTTGTTAAAGAAGTAATTATTGACTCAATTAGTTATCACTTGAAATCACAAAACGCCTTTAATCAGGTTGCCAGGAGATTAATCTTCTAAGTTCACGAGAATCGAATCTAGCTTTATATGTGCCTTTAGGTGAAAGGTCAAATTCCATGTACTAAAGTAGCTACAAATTATACTTCTATTGTTCTAGTGTACTACTCTCTTTTCAACAATATTTGTCCACTATTGACTTTGTACACTTCTTAAAAAATTATAAATAGAAGGATAATTTTAATTTATCACCTTTTAAATATAATAAATAAAATACCTTTAAGGGTGACCTAGTGGTTTGGCTTGGGACTTTCATGTTGGAGCTTTCAATCTTGTCGCAACGGACTTGTCTAGTGTGGATTACGTCTCCCGTGTGATTTGCAAGCTATTACATAAGAGCGGAGTATATATCATATATGACTTGATTAAACATGATACTGTTTTTGTAAATAACCAAAAAAAAAAATTGAACAAAATAATCTGCATTCGACTAAAAATTCTCTGGCTTATAGGTTATTCTTCTTTGATAGGTCTACTTTCATAGGCTTTCCACAGTTAATCATGGTTAGATTTAAATTTAAATTATTAAATTAAATTTATGACATGTGTCATTAATTTAATTTGGGCAAAATGGTGGGAAAGAAAATATTGAAGAGGACATGGATCCATGAATTTGCAGCCTAGTGATATTTTTTGGCAACTGTTCAAATTAATCAGACTCTAACATTAATATAAGTATTGACACCAAATTAAGAAAACAAAAACAAAATTAAAAGGAAGAAAGAATCAAAGAAAACTAACTTCCAACTCCTCGATATTGTTATATTTACGTTGGACACGCGGCAGTAGATTACAGTTAATTAAAACGTGTCTTCTGCCTCCATCTTCAGACACCAACACGTGTCCAATTCGATATTTAAAATAAACATCACCGCCATTATCCATACTTTCACCTTTGCGATACAATCCTATTAATACCCCAAATCTTCTTCTTCAAATTTTGTATCAATGTTCCTTTTAGTAAAATTTGTGTGTAACATTGCAAACATCGCAGCTTTGTTGTTCTTCATCTTTGCTTAAGCTGGTCCTCTGACTGTCTAATTAGCCAATTAATACGAAAAAATGGGTTTCGTTGGAGTTCCGATCTGTGTGCAGTGTGGCAATGCTAGCAATCCTTGTAGGTTAGTAGTATTACTTTCGACTATTAACATAATTAATTACAAAAAAAGATTAAAATGTGTATATTTTAGATTTGAAATGGTTGTATATATGTAGGTGCAAGGTGGTGGGGCCAACACTTGGTTTCTTGGCATTTGCTGCGGCAGCAATTGTAGAATGGCCGGTTGGTGCTCTGGTTTATGTGTTCCGTCACTCCAAGGGACGCCGGATTATGGGTCATCCAGCAACCGTCATTTATCCTTCAGTCACCAACTCTATTCCTATTTAATTTAATTTTCCTTTCAACAAAGATCAGGTGCTTTGTTTGTAGCGTGACAATAATAATATATAATGTATGATGCTTTAAATAAGCATTAGGGTTTTTTTTTTTGTGTACTTGTATCAAGTTTGGTTGGGGTTAAATAAGCTTGATGTGGACATCTATAAAATTGAGCAGTTAGTACAAATTAAATAAGAAACATGTAGAATGAAGAGTTTCCCCAATAGTACTTCATAAGTTCGTTGAGTAGTACTGCTTTCAATATTCGATACCGAACTGTATTTAGCACGGCGTATGACCGAGCGCTCTCTCTCACACACGTTATTTTGAGTTTATGGATTTTGGATTAAAAAAAAAAAGAGACAATTTTAGATAAATTATTTGATCTATGCTTATATATATAGTAAGTGAAACTCTTTATAACAGAAGTACATATTTGATCTAATGTTTGCCAATTCTGCTGATTAATTGGAAACCTCAAAGTAGGTGTAGTAAACAAGATGGATTTGTTATATGCTATTTATGTTAGGCATGGTAATGGACTCAACGTTGCACATGTTATGTTTTGGTCATTGGCAATTTTGTCATTCAAAGTTTTGTCTTTATTTTTCATTCAAATTTTGGGTGGTCAAAATTTTACTTTGAAAATGTTTCTAGTGTTTGTTTTTATTCAGAGACTACTCAAGTCAGTGAGTCAAGTCAACCTGACATGTTAACACTTAACTCACGGCAACCCTACATCCATTAATTTTGAATATCACTAGTCCAGTCATAGTCAATTTTCAGCCACATTCTTTATGCAATGACCAATTTGGCCTGTTTTATACAGTATTAGAGAAACAATTTCAAATTTTGCTGGAAATTACTTTGTCGAGGTGAAAAGGCTCAAAGAGATATCCAATGATTCCTTTAATATGTGTTGAGTTTGAATTAACCAGGAGGACGTCATGCAGAGGCTAATAATGTGACTAATAATTATAGAACTTTTAATGACCATAAAAGGGCATAAAATTTTAATATTGGCCTAAAAACATTAGATTGTGATGCTATTGTGTTATAGTACGAAAAAAGAAAGGATCTCCTTCAACAAAAAAATGGGTATGAAAGACCATTTTCTACGAAGAAAACTTTTTTTAAAAAATAAAACAGAATTAATAGTTGAATTCAACTGAGGTAGGAACTACAGGCAAATGCTAACAATATTTTACCTTGAAGGAATTTCCCTGAATGTTCAACTAGTAAAAGTATTGACTTGACTTTTCTACGTAATAGTAGAAAACAAGTAATTCCACTCTGCCTACTTAAGTAGTATAAAGCCATAACCATAGGAAGCAATCAACCATAGCAAAATTGAATTTTCTTTCCTTTGATTGTTCCTCTCTTCTTTGTTTGTCATAAACTTCATTTACTTTTCTTTTTGATCATTTTGCTATCAATAATCTTGGTTAAAGTATCCATGATGGCCTTTTTATGTGGAGGCGGCTTTCACAAGAGAGAAAAGAAGAAGAGGCAGAGTGTGCAATTTGGGGGTAAAAAGCCAGTAGAAAGGCTAGAGAGCAGCATAAGTAGTAAAGCTCTATTGATGGTAAAAATGATATCTTGGAGGAAAAAAGTGGAACATGATGATGATGACGATGATGATTATCAAGTAAATTGGGAAGACGAAAACGCGCTATGGAAGAGGACTATTATTAAAGGAGAAAAGTGTCGCCCTTTGGAATTTTCAGGCAAAATTTCATATGATGCTAATGGCAATCTCGTGCTCGATTGATCAATTTTTCAGTACTTCTGCCTTCTTTTTACCTGTTTCTTTTCTCTCTCTCTCTCTTTTTCTTTGGATATGTTTGATAGTTGTAATTATGTTAGGATTTAAGTTATATAAACCGATGCAAACGAAGGGAAAGAAGAAAAGAACTCAAATAATATATATATACAGAATGGTTTACAGTTGCAGAGTTTTGGTATTTTTCATCAATTTCACTTCATTTGCTGTATACAAAAGATTCTTGTGCACTGGTTATATTTTATTTCAGAGAGTTTCAAAGTGCTGTTCCTGAAGAAAATCTTATTGAAAGCATGAAACTTACCTAATCCTTTCTTAGTAATCTCTCGTATACGCATAAACGAACATTAATTCTTAGCTCAATCTCAAAAAAACTAAAATTGCTTAAGAGTATCATATCAGAAACCAACAACTCATTCTCTCAGCCATGTGAGACTGAACAGTATTATTTTCTTAGATGAAACTGAAAAGTTAGTTGTTTTCCTTTTCTTTGAGAAAACAACTAACTGAGCGAGATAGAAAAATCCCTGCATGTTCCATCTGATGGGGGATAGGCCAACTTTCTGGCCACTCCAGCAAACAAATTGTTGAAGCCTCACTACCTTTGTGTGCCCACCAAAATCTTATCTTCTAATTCATTTCAATCCTACCTTGACACAGTGCACAAAGTTTTTAACAAAAAATTAAGACACTATTTTTTCTACATTTCTTTCTTTTTAACACCTCCGTGAGATCCCAACTCGAACCCACAACTTCAGTGTTAAGGATGTTTACTATATGAGCAACCGCTCTTGTCTCCATTTTTTTCCTGGTGTTTGATTAAAAAGGAATTTCAGAAAATTTGAATAACTTTTTTTGTTTGGTATGAAAGAAAATTATTTATTGGAGGTAAGTCATTTTTGTTAAATTAGAGGAAAATAGGTTGATTTGAAAAATATTTTTCTAAGCATTTAAACCGACCAAACATGAAAAAATTGAAAAATGTTTTCCTTACTACCAAAAAGTGAAACTACGAAGATCAATAGTACTTACAACAACATCACCAGCAAATAAACAGATAGAGCAGAAGTTCTGTAAAACTATATGCAATTCTAGAAACTAAATTCGACCCTATAGCAAACCAATTAAGCAAAAAAAACTAACTGTCATGACTGGAATTGGGCATACAAAGATCCATAATTTTCTCAGCATCCTCTGTTTCATCTCAATCAATTTTTGTACTTCACCTCTAGGCAGCTTCATCTTCAGCTGAACCACAGCTCCATTACTTGGCTTTGGAATCGACAAATCTGAAGACAATCTTCGGCTCAACATAAGGCACTCCAGCCGGTCCTGTGCGCTCATATGAACAGCAGATTTCACCCTTCTTGCAACCTTATTCCTACTTATTTCTTCTTTAGAAACAGAGGTTGATAAGCCTTCAGATCAGGGCTGATAGTTACGTTTGTCGCTCTAATCACTTTTTCTAGGCATAAGTTTATATTTCTGTATCATAATATTTTTAAAATTATGTCCAACATGACTTCAATTTTTAAAGACGAACCTATTTAAAAGGCAAAACAAAAAAAATGTATACACCAACAAGTGCACTCGACCCATGCTAGTGTGGGCTAGCTTTATCTCATCTAGTGTACCTGTATGAATAACTTGTAGTATCCAATAAAAGAAGATGACATGCATATATAATCAATAATTGGTAGAATTACCATGTGCAGTTAGGATTGATATCCTTTCTTCCTAACTTTTTAATGTCATCGACGAGATATTCAAAAGCATTGTACGATGAACCTCCTTCTCCAACACTAATTTTTGCCAACATAGATAACTTGTCAACCGATTTCTTCAACTTATCCTTATTTGTTACCATCAATTCTTTCACCACCTTCTCAATAATGTATCTGTCACAAATGTCTTTCATGTCCAACCCAATTTTCCACACCTCACCCACAAATCTACTAGTGACTCGTTGGTCCACATAAACAGCCCAACAGATCATAGGCTTTCTTTCAACAATACTTTCCATGGTCGAGTTCCATCCACTGTGAGTTAAAAATCCACCAATAGCTGGGTGGGATAGTACTTTCTCTTGTGGAGCCCAACTCACTATGTAAGCTCTTTCTTCGCAACCATCTGTTAGCTCCTTCACAAATTGGTGGCTAAACTCTTCTTCCCTCAATAAGTCGGACCTCATGACCCACAAAAATCTGATTCCACTATTTACTAATCCATGCCAAAACTCCAAAATTTCCTTCTTTGTCAAAGTTGCAAGACTTCCAAAACTTACATAGATTACTGATTCTATGGGCTGTGCATCGAGCCATTGAATTGAACTGTGATCTTCTTCCCACAAACTATTCGAAGAGGACATTGTTTTATCAGCAAGCCTAGTTTTGAGTTGCAAGTGTAGTGGTCCAACCGCATACGTTTGTGGACAATGAGAGCGAATAAGAGAGAGTAACGGACCGTCTAAATCTTCAAATGTATTTAATATGAGTCCATGGGATCGAGGTATACTTTGGATTTCCTTGAGAGCAAGTTGGCAATAGAGGTCCGTTGCACAATTTGTGAGGCGATAGAATGGAAAATCACGACGCCGTAGAAGATCTTCCATGCCAGGTACATTTTCTATCAATACGTCCAAGTCATTTCCTAGGTAAATTTTTGCTTGTTAGATGGCTGGCCATAAATTAGTAACATAACTCCAAATACAATACAATAGCAAAAATGAAAAAGTACCTTTGAAGGGAATATCTCCAGATTGAATGAGTTTGGGGAAACAGAGGTAAACCCATAGGCAACAAGGACTAATAGTATCAAAGGAAATAACAGAAACTCCAACCTCATTACAAATATCCACTGCATAATAAAATAATCCATCAGGTATAACACACGTGACACCGGACTCTGTTAATATTTCTCTAAGAAAAGGCTCTGCCGCAGCTTGCAAGGAAGTAATAAGCTCTCCAAACAGAAGAGACGACCGGGGATGATCCTTGGGAAGACCATCGGAAATTGTCCGGAATTGAAATTTGGGATATTGCTTGAATCTTGATTCGACGTTGGTGTGACGATAGAGAAGCTGTTGATTGTGATTCGTGTTGAGGAAAGTAACTTGTAAATCGGCGAGGCAAAAAAGCTCAGCAAGTTGAAGCATGGAATTGATAGGGCTTTGTATTGGAAGAGGGAAGAGGAGAACGTGAGGACACATTATTTTTGCTTCTTCTACTGTGTTGTGATGCTCCATTACTTCGTCCTTAGGGGGGAAAGGGAGATAAGATAGATATATAGCTGCTCCTTTGCTTTTATTACTGATAGAGTTTTTTAAGAATGACGACAGAAAAAGATTTGTCAAAGATACTCCGCCTAGGATTCCATTAATAAATGGAGTTGGTGCAGCTTTCCTTGTTTCTATTTCAATTTATTAATGTCACTTCTTTTTTTTATTTTTCTTATCCGATCAAAGATAGTATATCTCAAATTATGATAAATGATACGTGTCAATATCCATTAAATATATCTCAAATTATTTTTATGTCCATTTTTTGAGTTGTGTATACCTCATGGCTAACGGATGGACACGCCAATTTTATTTATATTTTTATTCAAAATTTTAAAAGAATCCATTCATTTTCAATATCCTCTAATAAAATACAATGACATTTTAAAAAAAACAAGTTATCCCTTTATCTCCATTCAAACATAAACCCAAAACCTATTAAATCAAACAAAGAAAAAAATGTTGTTTAATTCATCTTCATTTACAGTCATTCTCCAAAATTTAAAAAAGTACTGTAGCATGTGTTTTCAATGAAAAACAAGAAATTCGATTTTAATTATTGGTTCATATCAATTAGTTGTTGAAACGGATTGGAAATACTACCTCACCTTTGACGAACAAGCTTCAAGCTTTAAATTGAGTTTGCAATCGAATGAGAACTTTTGAAGATCATTTGTTGTCAAAAAAGGTTGAAAATACTATAACCATTGACGAACAAAACTTTAAATTCTAAAATGGGTCTGCCACTGAATCAAAAACCACGAGCTCAAATGAATTTGTTGTTAAAATGAATTCGCTTTGAAGACCAATTGCAACCAATACGGCTGAAAACAATAGGTAAAATAGGGATCGGGAAGTACAATTTGCTTAGGAAAGGGCAGATAAAGGTTGAAACTGAAGCATGGGTTTAAAATTGAAAAAGGGGTAGGGTATTTAGTTTTGGGTAAAAAATAAACAAAATCAAGTAAATTAAATGATGATAAAAGATATACACCATCTTAAAATATCTAACACATATCTATCATAGTTCAAAGGTATATTCTTCAATTAATTTACAAAGTTTTCAATTCTTTTCTAAGGTTTATGACCATTAAGTTTTATCTACTTTAGCATGAAAAATACCTTCTTTTATGGTTATTTTTTCGTTCATACTCCAGTCAGGGATTTATTTATTTTTTTCCGATGATAATGCAATCTAGACAAGGATTTTATTTTTCTGGTAACACAATCTAGTATGCAAATAAAAAGGACCTTGTAATTATACCAAAAATAACTGGTTTTTTTTTCTTTTGCATTAAATAGATTCTTTCAAGTTTTGGTAACAAGAAGTCAACAATAACATCAAATTGAATAAAAGCTCACGTGTAAGATCTGCAAATATACACACCTTCCTATATAAAGAAGATAAATAGTTTGTTTCTGATAAATTACATCGACAATAACAATAATAATAAATTCAATATGATCCTACAAATAAAATGTACACATACCTTTTATCCCATGATAACGGCCAAAACGAAAGACAAAATTAACGTAGTGGAATCAAATAAATTTGGAGGGAGAGAAAAAAACAAAATAGAAGTGGGATGGATAAGTGCTACAAGAATATTTGTCATCCTTGACGAATGGTCTCAAATGATCTCAATCCTCAGCTAAACCACTAATCTATCCATTAACACAGAATAAAAATGTTAAATAAACAAACAAAAAAAAGAGTGAACAAAGAAAATCAATACTACTAATTATAACAATACTAACAGCAAATAAACAGCAAACAAGCACAAGTTTCTGTAAAACTATATGCAATTCTTGAAATTAGATTTTGAGCCTATTGTTTATAGTAATTGACGACCAAACAAAAAAGATGCAAAAAAAACTAGTACGTAAGTTTTAGGAATTGTGCATACAAAGATCCATAATTTTCTCAGCAACCTCTGCTTCATCTCTGCTTTCTTCAATCAACTTTTGTACTACACTTCTGGGCAGCTTCATCTTCAGCTGAACAACAGCTCCATTACTCGGCTTCGAAATCGACAAATCCGAAGCCGATCTCCGGCTTAACATAAGGCACTCCAGCCGATCTTGTGCGTTCATATGAACATCAGATTTCACCCTTCTTGTAACCTTATTACTAGTAATTTCTTCTTTAGGAAACAGAGGCAATTCTACAAGAAAATATATTTTGCTCGGCTTCAGCTCTTGTTCTGCCTCTAATGGCTTAGCTCTAATCCCAAATTTCTTCACTGCTTCTGATTCCAATAAAACATGACCTGGGTAGTCTTTAACTACCTCTGACGTTGTTATTGGTGTCTTCAGTTTAAGGATTTCGCCGTTAATCTTCATCACCTTTGTCTTCTTCGTACTTCCTCCTATGTTGTTACCCATTCTATTTCTCTTCTTTTTTTTTTTTTGGTACTATGGTTCCTCCACTTATATTTTGGTATAATTATATGGACCACGAACTAACTTTTTTGTTAGTGCGTGTGCGTGTGAATTTGTGGAAATGTACTAGAAAAGCTTTTATTTAGTGCCCTATCTAGTGTATGATTAACCGGTTAAACTGAATTTCAAATATTAAAATTTGAAAACTCTAATTTTAAAAATAATTTGAGATATGGTCTTCAGACCGTATTTGTCAGATTTCATTGGGTGTGTTATTTGTTATAGTTAATGATAAAAACGCAAAGGGTGTTCAGGATTTTAAAATAAATATTAAAGTAATATTGAACTATATACCTAGTTTAAATATTCAACAGTCATCCCTAAAATTGAACCTATCAATTCAAATATGGACCCGCCATGAATTATTTAACGTTTCCACTAAATCCATGATATGATTTTTCTATAATTCTATAAAGGGATCGTTTGATATATGTGGATCAAATTCTTTTAAAATTATATTTTTTGAACTAATTTATCACACAAAATCATGCGTTATAAATTTAATCTTGAAATATTTCACCGTTATCCTATGTACCAAACAATTGGTGTTGTACTGTGTGTGTGTGATGATTGTACCTTACGATGGGAAGATAAATATTTTTGTAAAAGACGAAGTGGGAAAGAAGTTATTCAATTCCATCACGACAAAATTCTATCTGGCTCTCTGATTAGAAAGCAAGAAAAGAAATGAAAGCCGACTTTTTTTTGTTGTAAAATATTGACATATTGGAGGGGCAATGGGGAGTTGAGTTTTCTTTTGTTTGTGATAATCTAAGGCTAGTGGGACTATGCTTTTTTGGCGTGGTATGATTATGATTTATGGGAAGACTTAATATTATATGTATAGAGTTTTAATTCTAATTTAGTTTACTTGTAAAATTGGCAACTGTATATAGTAAACATTATTTGATAACGTAAAAAATATATATAAGTAAATAACATGTTATATACTCAATGTTAAATAAATTGTTTGTATATATAACTTAAGTATAAACGGCCTTACGTTTAAGATTATCATTAAGTCCCAACCAAATTGCTAATCTGGACGTCGACAGCAGAGCGTTTCTAAATTCAAAGTCGTAATCCTTAATTTTGTGTGTTGATTAAGGAAATGTTTGCTTCTGTCACAAAGAATTTAAAATTTAATATGTTGTTTATTCATAGAAAAGGTCCGAGGAGGATAAGATTTTTCGGTTACACTTGCAATTGCTATTTAAATGAAAGTATCAATTGATGTTACTTATACGGTGAGGCCAAAGGAGAAAAAAAGCAAAACAAACTTTTCACAATTAGTCACTGTATTCAATGACAAAGTCTGCAATTTCGTTAAGAGTGTTCAAGATTTGATATTTTATAGCTAGACTTTGACTAAATTAACTCTCTAAATAAGGCGAATGGGCATGTTCAACTCCGCTTTATTAATCTATACTATAAAAAGGTGTTAATACGATCTTATAATTAGTCTTAAGATATGGGCTGACGTTTGTGGTGATGTTTGGAAAATTCTTATACGTTTAAGTATTCAAGATCTCATTGAAAACGTTTTAAGTCTTTTTCATGTTCTGAAGTCTAGCTAATGCTCCTTATTTCATATAATTATATTTTTTAAACAATAACAATGTTGGATAAGTTTACGCACATCTCAATTAATTTTTCATATTTAAGTCTTAAATTAAGTGATTACGAATTGATTAGAATATCCTGGAGCATATTCGAAGATCCACATTTTATTAATGCTTAGCTGAGGTTATAAATGATTTTCATGTCATGATTTAAAAAAAATGAAGTTACAAGGATAGTGATAAAGTCTGCATACATCTCACTTTATACATTGGTAAGGAGAAAGGGCATGAACATCTGGAGGTATATGCTAGATTTGTTGTCAATTACAACTCAACATTCCCAAAAACCAATATGCATACTCACAATATCTAGATTTCAAAATAAATAGGAAAGTTAAGCTAATTGCTCAAACATTTGTTCATGAATGGATAGAAAAGCATGTTGAATAATAGAAATTTAAGGTATGATGTATACACTTGTCGACTGTTTGTCAATGAGGGCATCGGAATTAATAAGTTTCTCAATTCTATGTCTCTGTGAACTTTAGTAAACATTCAGCAGCAGGAATCCTAAGGCATAATACCTAAATCAAAGCTAGGAATGCTATTAGGAGCAAAACATAAAAGAACAACTACAATGAATATCAAGTAGTGGATTTTTCTTTTTAAAAGAAGGCTAAGCCACATGGAAAACGCGGTATCTATCCTCTGGAGGTAGGCAGGCTGGCCTTGATAAACAGTGTGTTAGAGCCATTCCAAACCACAGTGATCTCTTAATATTTGAAGTTCCAGCAAAAGTGAACAATTGGTTACAAGGTTCTCTGGATGAGGGAAGTTAATTCATCTTACAGCATGGAAACTAAGGCCAAGATAGGGAGGAGGTATTTTGGCAGGCACAAAACTGAGACACCAGACAAGAAGCAGTCATGGAATTTTGCAATTCCAAATTGATGTTTCTGAGAGAACAGACAACAACAGGATAAAGGGACTAGTTTAAACGATCACATCCCTTGGAATGAGTCTATTGAAACAAGAATAGCAAAGGGTGAGAGGTATTCTCCCAAACATGCATTTATTAAAGTTGGAGATGGCAGGAGAAGTAGATTTTTGGTCTCTGATTTGGACTGCAAAATCAAAGCCCAGGGAGAGATTTCCAGATTTATAGAGATCACAGGGAATCTGGAAACTAGGATAGCTGAGAATTAAGAACAAACCAGTCAGTCATAAAGTTGGACATAACATTTTAGAAGTGTGTGAAGTGGACTAGATCTATGACCAGCTTGTTTTGTCGCAAAACGAAGTGTATTTGCATCACTACCAAGATGGAATAACATGGAAAGGAGAAAGACAATGAAGAGACTGCCTAGTCTTTCTATCAAATACTAGTTTATACTTGAGCACGAAAAATTAAGTCGGACATGACTTCAATTTTTAAAGAGGAACCTATTTAAAAGGCCAAACATACAATTTTATACACTTAACATTGAGCTCGACCCATGCTAACGCGGGCTTTATCTCATCAAGTGTACCTGTATGAATAACTTATAGTATCCGCTAAAAGAAGAAGAAAATAATATAATCTTTGTCTACAAAATAATGATTGGTAGCATTACCCTGTTTATCCTATGCAGTTAGGATTGATATCCTTGTCTCTTCTGCCTAACTTTTTAATGTCATCGACCAGATATTCAAAAGCATTGTACGATGAACCTCCTTCTCCAACACTAATTTCTGCCAACATAGATAACTTGTCAACCGATTTCTTCAACTTCTCCTTATTTGTTACCATCAAATCTTTCACCACCTTCTCAATATTGTCTCTATCACAAATGTCTTTCATGTCCAACCCAATTTTCCACACCTCACCCACAAATCTACTAGTGACTCGTTGGTCCACATAAACAGCCCAACAGATCATAGGCTTTCTTTCAACAATACTTTCCATGGTCGAGTTCCATCCACTGTGAGTTAAAAATCCACCAATAGCTGGATGGGATAGTACTTTCTCTTGTGGAGCCCAACTCACTATGTAGGCTCTTTCTTTGCAACCGGCCGCTAGCTCCTTCACAAATTGGTGGCTAAACTCCTCTTCCCTCAATAAGTCGGACCTCATGACCCACAAAAATCTGATTCCACTATTTACTAACCCATGCCAAAACTCCAACATTTCCTCCTTTGTCAAAGTTGCAAGACTTCCAAAACTTACATAGATTACTGATTCTATGGGCTGTGCATCAAGCCATTGAATTGAACTGTGATCTTCTTCCCACAAACTATTTGAAGAGGACATTCTTTTATCAGCAAGCCTAGTTTTGAGTTGCAAGTGTAGCGGCCCAACCGCATACGTTTGTGGACAATGAGAGCGAATGTGAGATAGTAATGGACCGTCCAAATCTTCAAATGTATTTAATATGAGTCCATGGGATCGAGGTATACTTTGGATTTCCTTGAGAGCAAGTTGGCAATAGAGGTCCGTTGCACAATTTGTGAGGCGATAGAATGGAAAATCGCGACGCCGGAGAAGATCTTCCATGCCAGGTACATTTTCTATCAACATGTCCAAATCATCATTTCCTTAACAACATAGGTAAATTTTTGCTTGTTAGATGATCAGTAACATAACTCCAAATAAAATAGCAAAAATTCATCTAAGTAAAATGAAATTGTTTCGTTGATGTTTTCTACTTGGAAGAAGCTAGCTAGTGAAACATACTAGATGTAATACTAAACTCTAAATTTTGAAAATGTATTTTTAAATATCTGTTATCTTGACAAAATTTTCAAGTTGCAAAAATAGAAGATGAAGTTTTTTCCGAAAATGAAAAGTACCTTTGAAGGGAATATCTCCAGTTTGAATGAGTTTGGGGAAACAGAGGTAAACCCAGAGGCAACAAGGACTAATAGTATCAAAGGAAATAACAGAAACTCCAACCTCATTACAAATATCCACTGCATAATAAAATAATCCATCAGGTATAACACACGTGACACCGGACTCTGTTAATATATCTCTAAGAAAAGGCTCTGCCACAGCTTGCAAGGAATTAATAAGGTCTTCAAACATAGGAAAGGAGCGGGGATGATCGTCGGGAAGACCATCGGAAATTGTCCGGAATTGAAATTTAGGATATTGCCTGAATCTAGATTCGACGTTGGTATGACGGTAGAGAAGCTGTTGATTGTGATTAGTGTTAAGGAAAGTAACTTGTAAACCGGCGAGGCAAAAAAGCTCGGCAAGTTGAAGCATGGAGTTGATAGGGCTTTGTATTGGAAGAGGGAAGAGGAGCACATGAGGACACATTTTTGCTTCTATTGTGTTGTGATGCTCCATTACTACGAGTGGGAGATAAGATAGACAGATAGATATATTTCTTCTTTTGCTACTAATAATAAGTTCTC